GAAATTTGATTCGAAGTCAGAGTCAAAGTAGTCTCTAAGAAGTCAAACTTATATGTATTTTCAGTTGCTTAGATCATTAAATAATGATCAAAATAATAAAGAGAATCGTACTCACCACTTTAAGTAAATCCAGTAATTATAATCAATTGGATAAAATTGTCATATAAGATATGCTGCACCTTACATATCTTGCAATTAATATCTTTGAAATTAATTTAAATTTCTCAAAAATCTATTTTTTTGGTTTTAAATTACTTACAGGTAATCTCTGCCTTTATTATAAATTTCATTTATATAACCGCAATTTCTTTTATATTATGAAAATACAAAAAATTTTTTATAGTATAAAGGCGAGTACATTAAATTTTATCGGTCACGGTATACTATCATCCTAAAAGTTGGCAATCTACACGGTAAGTAATAATATGCATTCTTTTTATATCTTTTTTATATTGAATTTTTATGAATATTTTCTATACTTTTGGTTTTCTATATATTCTAAATGGTATTTAAACAATTCTGGACTTTCTTACTAAATATGCACGTTGTGATTAAGTTCGTTTTGTTTTGTTATAAAAATGAAAGAACCAAATATCAAAAAATAAGTATAAGAAAATTAAATTAGATTTTTTCCCTATTTTATGATGCAAAATATATAAAATTTCTCAACAAAGTCAAGAAAATAAAACCTACAAAAAATGAGAGAAAGAGATAGAGAGTAATATATCGACACCAAAAGCTATGATATTTTGACACATCCTGGCTTTAATGATTCATCCAAAAAAAATTACAAATATAAACACCTATAAAAGAAAGAAAGGGAAAGAACTGCTAAAGAAGAAAAGCTATGTTTTTATGATGATCGCAAAAAAAACAAATATTTTTTACTTTTTTATACTCTAGAAAGCATGTTGTATATATGTATATACATAAATATACATAATTTTATATGGATTTATATATTTTTAATAAAGGTGAGTTTTATATTTCAAAAATTATACGAGATAAGGTTATAACAACATTTTAAGAAGATCTATACGAGGATATGCAACATTAAGGGTCATAAAAATACAATACTTTTCTTATTTTTTATATTGTCATACTTATTTTATAACATTATCCACGTTTTTGTTGTTGTTTTTGCTATCGTTGTTGTTGCTGCTATGATAGTTATTACTTTCTTGTCATACAAGTTTAGTTATTTCTAACTTTACTCTATATGATACTAACTTTTCATTTAAAAATATAAACCAAGAGGATAATATTATTAAATTTTCTCTAAAGATTGTTGTATAATTTCTTGATGCAAGAATCTTTTAAAAAAACTTAATAATATTAGATATAGATAACATAATATAGATTTAATAGTTCAAAGTTTCTCTCATGTGTACCATAACATGTAAGTTGGTATAAGATGTGCATTATCATTTAATGAATGTTTACATTTAATTGTTTTGTAATTTAATATAATAATTTATTTTAAAATATATTTATAAAAAAACGTTAAAAGTTTGAAAAAATAATTTGAAATATGTATTTTGAAGACAAGAAAAATGACTGAAACTGGAATTAAGTTTTAAAGAAAACTGACAACATTCTGATATTCTACATTTCGGTACATAAAGCACCAAATCGAATGCCCGACTGAATATGGAAATTGACATGTCTCATTTCTTAAATAACGAAGTTAAAATATTAAATAATTGTTGCAACTTATCAATATGCTCGCATTCTTCGTACGAATACTCTAAAATAATGTCAAGCATCAGATCCATGCACTCAAAAACAGACAGGGTCAGCCATTATCATGCAACAGTAAATAGTATCTAAAACTGACAGTATACAGCCACTAACAGTATTCAGAACAGATATAATGAATGCGATACATAGACTGAAAACAACAAAAAATAAACCCCAATAAAGGTAGAACAAATATCTATCGTGCTGATGGAAAAAGGGCATTATAATTAAGCTACCAAAAAAGGGAGACTTAACAGAATACAAGAACTGGCGGAGTATACAATACTGAAAATAGCTATAACTGAACAATATATTGCGGGACTCAGTAGGGGCCACAACTGTGCCGACCACAGATAATCACAACACAGTCAATCGAATGAAGTACACTATTGCATATCACTTTTGTGAACTTCGAAAAAGACTTCGATACGATCAACCGGGAAGCCATATGGCATTTCATAGTAAATAAAGGCATTCTTAACAAAATAATCAATATAATGTCACTATATGGGGATGCGGAGCTAAGAGTGCTTCGCCAAGGCCTGATAAGCAACTCCAAAAAAATTTAGGACCGGAGGCAAGCAAGTATCTGTTCTATCTCCACTCCTTTTTAATATGGTGTTAGACGACGTCATAGAAGGACCAAAAACTACTACCAGAGATATGAAGTGGATTTTCACGAATAGACTCAAAAACCTGGAACACGCGGCTTAGTCCTACTTTATAAACTACACGATCTGGACCAAAATAGCATAAAAGTCGGTTTCCGAATAAACACGAGTTAGACAAAAAGTATGTGAACTAACGTTTGCAATAATGCCCCGTTAAAAATAAACAACACAGAAATAGAAGATGTCACTGAATTCTGCTACCTTGGTAGTATAATTACTACAGATGGAGGTGCTGAAAAAGACATAGAGAGCCGTATAAAACTCACCAGAATAGCGTTTGAGAGATTCTAGAGATTACGCCACTTAGCTACTGAAACAAAAATACGAATATTCAACGTCTGCGTAAAACCGGTGCTCTTATATAGAAGTAAAACTTGACTAATCAAGGAAAAATGTGCAAATTAAATGCAAGTCTTCAAAAAGCAAATTCCCGAGATTTATATGCAGGAAATAACGAGTAAATATAATAGAAATAATATCGACAAAAGTTTTAGTGCACAAAGCTTAAATAAGACAATACAAAAACATTCACAATATCTTGAGTGAGCTAGAATATGAGAGGCCTAAAAAATATTTGAAATAGAACAAGTACTCTCTTTTATTTTGGATGTGTAATAAAACTAAATTAAAAAATTAGGATCTTATATCTAGTAAATTGAGAAGAAATGTATAAATTAAGTCCCACAGTTTTCACATTTTAATTGAAATTAATGATGATATTATCGACAGATCTACCTACATACTTATAGTATTATACGAGTATATATATAAATCGGATATTGTCAATTAATATATATTTTCTCTTAAATTACTCCCGGAAATTTATTATTATTTTCATATTGTTTTTATTTTTTTCTTTTTTCAAAATATATAAATCAATTTTAATAAAGACAAGGAAAGCCACAAAACAAACCCAATTACAATAAAACAAAAAGAGAAAACTGGAAAGCGCTCATTGTTGGAACAATATAAGAAAAAAAATGTTCCTCTTTGGTTTGATTTTTTTCCTTTATAAATATCAATAAACCATTAAAATCAATTTTATATTTTTCATCTCATCACCATCATTATTGTCAACCATAACAACATTGTATTGTAAAAACAAAAACTGAAGATAAAAAGATGGAAAATTAAGCAGATCGTTTTCGATTCCTATTAATCACTTAATAAGGCGGCAACAAAGAAAATTATAACAAAAAAAAAAGAACACAACTGAAGCATTTTTTAACCTTGAAAATGTGTTAAAGATAATAAATATCATTATTCTTTTTTTTATTGTTTTTTTTTCTTATATAATAAATAAACTTTTACCAATAAATTTAAAGAAGATTCCCCATATTATTTGATAATAAATCATTTTGAATGAAACAAAAAAGAATAAAAAAGGACAACCAAATTTTATCGAAACATAAGGTAAATGCGGAAGCAGGTATATTGGATGGTGTGAATTGGGTAAGGACAAAAACACAAATATATATAACATATATATATATATATATATACGTTAACACAATTTTATACATTTTTGAAAAACTCCTATAATTGTGCAAATGAAGAGAGTGAAGAATTTTCAAAAATTAATTATTCCTAGAATACAAAGTAATCAATTTGTTCATCTATATAAATAAGTATACAATCTTTTTATTAAAAAATATTTCGAAGACGAGACCGAAGATACAATTTTATATTGTAAAATAAATTTAGTACAAAAATTTCTCATCATGTACAAAATATCTGTGTAAAATATAAAATGTGACGTGCCGTAAGAAGTTAATTCTTTATTCTCTCGCTTCCTTTGCAATAAAATAACGTCACTTTTACTTTCTACAGAAACGCTACCCATACTTATAATGTGTCGATTTGAATTAACAATTAAATATTGAAGACATTTATAGTACATTATTTATAGCAGGAGGACGTTTTTAAAATTGGAATTAATGATCTATAACATACTTATGACGATTTAAAAATTTATGAGTTGAAAAATTATTATTTATTGAACAGAACTTTCATTTTAGGTTAAGTCTTACATGAGATGGCGGCAGATCATATACATATATAAGGATTGAAAAAATTATTAGGAAATTATGAACTTGCATAGAGCAGAGTTTCATATTGTATACAATAACTTAAATTTATTTACAAGAACTAAGTAAATTAAACTTTACATTTATTGAAATTATGAGAAACTTTCTTTTTTTTTCAAAAAATTTTTTAACATTAACTACGATTTTTACTATTAAACAGAATTTTTCAAATTAACTCTTCTTTCCTTCTCCTACTTTTCTATTGATTTTTCTATGTCGTCTTCCCCTTTTTATCAAATACAAAAAAAAAATTAACAGCAATAAAACATATTTTTCGTCCACTTAAACTTCAATAAAATTTTAAATAACAAGCATATAGAAGAATTTTCGACAGTGTGCTAAGTAGTAAAAAGACAAAAGGCAAAATAATTTTTGTTTCTTTTAGGTATTTTTTCACCTTTTCTCCATCTTTAATTTTTATTTTTTTAGTTACTTATTTTTCTTTTTTCTGTGCTTATTGCCAAATGTTTATTAAGACCATTCACAAATTATAAAACCTTACCGTAGGCTTTCATTTCGTAGATTTGTTGATATTTCTTTTCTTTTACCTGAAATAGAAAAAAAAAAGTTTGAAAATTTAAATTCAAAAAGATCAAAAAATTATTTATTTACTGTTCATATAGTGTAGAAAAGAAGAAATCCACTAATAAACAAATGAAATTTGTAATAATGTGTAGTCGTTGAAATGGTTTGAAAGAAAAAGATAGACGGGAGCAAAATTATAATATTTTAATTAAAATAAAAAAGGGGGTGTTAATGAAAAATCGTTTCGTTCAAAAGAATCACATCGAACAGAAAATAAACACAGAAGATTCAATTATTTGTCGGTGAATGTTAATAAACACAGAAGAACATAGAAGATTCGATATGATTAATTGTCGGTGAATCTTAATTGCAATTACATACAATTAACATTCACCGACAATTGAACACTTATTTCCAGGAACACAAAATTATATTATGTTGATCATTGTAAAATATGAAACAAGGTCTCTTATTTGAGACCTCTCGACAACTTTGTTATTTTATAAGAGAGTTAATGTACTCGTATTACACCATCCTACTCTAAAAAGCGCACTGAATTTATTATAAGTTACGCGTTGTTTTAACATGAAAGAACACATAAAAACACTATAAAAACATTATGTTTTATATACTTAACACCAGTTAAGAAAATAAACAAACGAAAACAATCAAATTTATATACACCCAAACCTCGCTTTACGGCCTAGATACGTTCCGCAAAACTTGGCCGTAAAGCGAAAAGCCGTATAACGAATCAATTATTCTAATACGTATTCATACAAATTCAATGGGATCGGTTCCAAATTTGATAAATATATAATATGGTTTATCATTCAAAATGCATTTTATTTTTTTATTTTGTTTAAATTATAAACATATTTAACAAGAACATAAATTTTACATAAAATAAAAAACTCCAAAAACATTACATAATTTTTAAATAAAAATGAAACAACTAAAACCTACAGATCACTGTCATCATCATTTTGCGCTGGTGGTTTGAAAAAATTGTCTAAAGTTGTTTGTCTTGCCTTCTTGTCTATTTCTTCCTTTAGTGATTTATAACAGCTAATGGCTGAGTTAATTCCTCGAGACACATTAGCGCTACGTTCGACGTCAGGATCGTTTTCAAGGAGGATGTTTATTCCTTGTTCAAAATAAGAAAAAGCGCTCGAAATGATTTTTGATGTTAGCTGTTTGGATACAACAGGCTCTGTACCTTCATCAATTGCTGGTTCTGCTTGCAACTGAATGAGTTCCTCATATGAAAGGGGTTCTCTATCAGCTGCAAGTAGATCCAGCACATCAGATTCGTTTAAATCTTCAAAACCGAGATCATGTGCTAAATCCAAAATATTTTGTCTAACTTCAGGAAGGAAATTAACTTCTGCATCGGTAGTTTTTATACATTCTGGCCATATTTTTTTCCAAACATGGTTCATTGTTGTCGATTTTAATTCCTTCCAGGATTCACTAATGTTCTCAACAGCATCCTTGATATTATAGTTTTTCCAAAACGTTTTAATTGATGATGTACCATCGGTTTCACTTATAAGTTGTTGGAATGTTCGGCGTAGGTAATATGCTTTAAACGTGGCTATTGCACCCTGATCCATTGGTTGGATCAGAGCTGTTGTATTTTTCGGAAGGTACTCAATCATCACATCTTCTGATAGTTCGGATAAATTAGTAGGATGCCCTGGTGCATTATCTAAAATTAGCAAAGCCTTGTTGCTTAAGTTATTGTCTAGTAAATATTTTTTGACTTCTGTACAAAAGTGATTTTTGAACCAATCCTCAAAAATAGCTTTAGTCATCCAAGCTTTTTTGTTGGATCTCCATATGACGGGTAATTGATTTTTATTTAATCTTTTAAAAGGCCTTGGATTTTCGGACAAATATATCAAAAGTGGTTTTAGCTTAAAATCACCCGTAGCATTTGCACCAAGTAGCAACGTTAAACGTTCTTTGGACACCTTATAACCAGGCGCAGATTTTTCGGTTTTTGAAACGTATGTGCGAACAGGCATTCGCTTCCAATAAAGCCCTGTTTCGTCTACGTTAAACACTTGCTCAGGTTTATAACCACCTCTTTCAATAATTCCTTTTAAAATGTTGGGATATTCGTTAGATGCGGCCTCATCGGCGCTAGCTGCTTCACCTTTCAATTTCAAATTATGCAAATTAAATCTATTTTTAAATTTTTCAAACCATCCTCGACTTGCTTGGAATGTGACATCTTCAGATTCATTGGTATCTCCTTTCTTCAAATTTTCGAAAATACCCAAAGCTTTTTCCTGGATAGTCATTTTACTCATTGGAATTTTCCGTTTGTTATTGTCCTCAATCCATATAATCAATAGTTTTTCCATTTTTTCCATAATCCAATTTCTATGGCGTGTTAATCTTGAGATATTTAAAGGTGCAGCAGATTCCAAATATGCTTTAATATCCTCCTTTTTATCGCGAATAGTTTGAATGCTCGATTTCGCAAGTCCCATTGCCTTGGATATTTCAACAATTTTCTCTCCAGCTTCTATACGACGTAATACTTCTTTTTTAGTTTCTAGCGTGATTGCTTTGCGGCATCTTTTTTTATCAGTCTCCGAAGTCGGTAATCGTTTCGTTGCCATTTTGTCTAAAAAATAATGAAATTCTAAATTAAAAATACATATCAAAATTTTTTTAAAATTGTAAAAAATGAGTACTTACCGTCCAAAAATGTTTCTAATTGTTTACAACTTTTTCAGTTAATTTGTAACAATCACTAATAAATATGTACATAAAACACTCACAGACAAATCTAAACCAGTCGCATTATAAGTACACACTGAATAACACTCGTAAACAAGGGAAACACAAAGAAATAAAGATTGCGCTTGCGCAATATATCGACATAGAAAAAAAAAGCCGTTATAGCAAAACATTTTAGGCCGTATATTGAAAACGTACCTTAATTAAAGAGGGCCGTTATAGCGAAAGGCCGTATAAAGAGCGGCCGTATAGCGAGGCTTCAGTGTATTATGTAATTTAAAGGTTAATTTAGTATTAAATTTTATAATATGTACATATAAGTAAAATACATTCACATAAAAAAAATTTACCACTGTACTAACCAATTTTCTTTATATCCTTATAAAAATTACTGTAATATTCTCGTATCTCTACGTACATACATGCATTCTTAATGTAAAAGAAAAGAAAAGCCAAATTATTACTGAGTTCTAATTACGCATTTCAAATGGGATTAAGTAATAAAATTAATCTTTTTGTGCATGTAAGTGTATATATGTATAATACATAGACATAATATATGTATATAAAAATGTTGTAATAAAAATATTATGGTTATTGTTGTACATAAAATTATAATAATGTTGTAAATTTTCTCTTTTATAACCTTTCCTCACAATAATTTTATTTATTATTTATTTATTTCATTATAAATTTATTTACTTTCTATTTATTTAATCTGATATAAAATCATAATGATTGATGTTAATTGCATTATAATGGAAATTACTTTATTTTGTATTACAAATTTTTGGCATACATATGTATATACACATACACTCACACTAAAACAAATTAAAGAATATAGAGTGTGTACAGCGGATATAGATTATAACAATGTATACATGTATATTTATTCTACAATTATTGTGAAAGTTGTAATAATTAAGTAAATTATGTTATACTCGTATTCTATGTGTAGTATGTTTACTACTATGTAGAACCTCTTCAATATCGGATTACATACCGTCGGTTAAGAAGCAGAAAGCATTAAGTCAGGAAAGCATTAAGTCAGGTGTGTTTTGAGTAAATTCAATTTGAAAAAATCGTAAAATTTTAAAACTAATCAATTAGTGCAATTTTATTGGTCTCTTTAATTTCTGGATTTATAAACTATATTCTGGATTTGCATGATTTTGTGCCACAACAAAGATTATATTATTCTGATTTAATTCATCTATGAAATCGAAGTTTTTTTTACATTTTAGACTTTTCTGAGTATGTTAAGCAATCCACACTTAGTAATCACGAATTTTCTATGATAAAGAGTCATTCAATGAAATTAAAATTTACAGAATCCCAATTATTTATTGTTTAACATCAACATTGCATATTTTTAAAGCTTAATCATATATTAAAGCTTATAAGGTAAATCAATTATTCAAGTATAATAGGAACTAAAAATGACTTAATTAGTACAAGTACGTGTCTTTATTTCAATATTCCTAAACGGCAACATAATTTCTTCTCTCATATTTTCAATATTTATAAATAATATATAGTATAGTATGTTTAAATGTACATACACCTACAAAAATTTATTTATTAAAAATATTCTAGATTTTTACTTTTTTTTGTATGAAATTTTTAAATTAATTAACAAAGTATAATATTATTTCATTTCAGTATGAATAGTACATCTATACATAAATATACTTTAGTATATATACATATACAATATTATGTAATATATTAAAATGCTCTTAACAAAATTATTTTAAAAAAAATAAAAAAAATAAAATTAAAATCATCACATGCATGTACATTTATATATTTAAATAGTACATTTTACAATCATTTCAATATTATATTCAAAGGTATATTTGTTCAATTTATATTAACAATAAACAACAGCAATATTTAATATTTCCCAAAAAATTATTTGCGAAAGATACCTATGTAAATAAAATTAATATTACTTCATAATTTTAAATTAATTAAATTATAATCGAAATATCTTCATATAAATATTAATGAATAAATAAATAAATGGTATTAATTAAATAATAAATTGATAATTTTTAATTGAATATTTCGTTTAGACACTTTTTTTTTCAATAACAATGTTAGAAGATTATAATTTACATATTTTGATTGAAGAGCAATAATAAAGGCAAGAAAATAATTTCAATGTAAAAAAGACAAAAATTTGCATATTTTCAGGATGAGCTTTTTAATTTTTTTATAGTAAATATATTTTGCATAAATTTAGGGTTATTAAAACTCTTAT